TTCAATGTTTGTTTGTTTGTTTTGAATTTTGCGCAAAGCTACACGAGGGCTAGAGGTCCCTAACTTAGCAGTGCAAGACTATAGGAAGGCAGCTAGTCATCACCACCCACCGCCAACTCTTGGGCTACTCTTTTACCAACGAATAGTGAGATTGACCGTCATATTATAACGCCTCCACAGCTGAAAGGGCGAGCATGTATGGTGTGACGGGAATTCGAGCTCGCGACCCTCAGATTGCGAGTCGAGTGCCCTAACCATCTGGCCATGCCGGGCCACAGAAAAGTTCATAATGCTAAAATCGGTTTCATTTTCTAAACAGATTACTACTGGTTTTGACACAAAACATCACAGAAAGAAAATCTGCGGAAAGAAACAACTTATAAAAAACACCGTCATCTTGATTTATAACCTTAATTACCTAAAATTATGCTCTAGTGATAAGATTCTTATTTCAGTGTATTCATTTCTGGATGGAAACAGTTTATAAATGGTACAAGAGAAACATTTTTATCTTGACTTTTGACTTTAATTACATCAAATCATGTTCTATTAATAATAAGGCTTTTATTTCACATTTTCTTACAGCTACGGATTTTACAGAATAATACTTATTGTGAAGAGAGTCCTGTAATTATATATTATTTTCAGATTTGTATGCATTGTTCGCTTTCCATTTTCTAAAAAATGTTAAAGTAAAACTAAAAATGTGGAGAGGAAAAACAAATAATAGAAAATATGTCGGTTATACTATTAACTTCATCTCCTTTACTATTTACTTCAAGTTTAAAGCGACATTAGTTACAACATTCTAGTGGCTTTAACTAGAAATTATATCTGAACTGGTTTCTTTTTCTAGGTCTATTGTTTAATAACAAAGAACATGTTTAAAAACGGAAAAGGGAGCGTCCGTCGAAGACTGACTTTTTTCGTGTTCTTGGCAAGTATAAAAACTTAGTGCTAACTGAAGTATTTATTTGTACGTATTAAAAGAAACAGGTACAACCTATAGATAAGACTCCCTTTAATAAAGGTCTATAACACAAATGTTGAGAAAAAACATTGGAGCTGATAATGTCGTACCTATTACTTTTAATATGAACGGATATTTGGTTTCTTGTAAGCTACTGAATGCAATTGATAAAAATGTTTACTCTGTTTGTGTCATCTGATGTTTTGATTTCTTACTATACTAAGTCAGATATTTTATTCTAGATGAAGCTGGTAGGCTAAAGAAAGAATCGATGTTATTTTCAGAATCAGGCTCAGTCCGCTGCTCAAGGATTTGATGTGGAAAAAGTTCAAAAGAGAATGTAATTTGATACCATATTTCAACTCGCACTAACGAATTCAAAAGTAGATTTAACACCCCTCTCGTTACTATTAATTACAATGAATCTATAATGATTTCCTAAATCAGTATATAAACTTCTGAAAAAATACCAGAACTACTAATAAATACATCAGAACTTTGGGTTAAAAGTTAGCCTATCAGAAAGACCTGTTAAACTGATCTTGCCTACAGCACTCAATAAACTATACATCCAAGGTAGCAGACACTGGCAGATTTGAATACTGTGGATACTAAAATAAATTCCAAACTTTCACTGAAAATATTTTGAAATATATTTAATACTGGTGGAAGTAGAGGTGAACTAATTATGTATGGTGTGTCTTACATGTATAAAAATTTTCCTGAAGTTGTTTTTTAATCCCAAATGTTTTATTTTTACGCCATGCTTGTCTTCTATAATCTATTTCTATCAGTGTATTGATCATCGCAGTGTTGTCTTAGGGTTTTTGCTGTTTGGTTTGTGTAAGCTCAATGACACGATGTTCAACTTTATTTATATTATTTACATGGTACAACATGTGCATTATGTGACAAACAAATGAATAAATTTTATGTTCTAATTTAAAATTTCTGTATAAGTTTGAACATTATTTTATAACTATTATCAAATCTCGTTTTACTGAGAATTGTAAAATATTTGGATTTGTTTTTGCGGGTCATAGTAGGATAATGTGTGGGTCAGTTTTATATTATTTTTAACATGGTAGTATTTCTGTGTCATAATTTCAAGAAACAAGGTCTATAGATATATGAATTAGGTCTACGAATTTGAAAGTTAACAGGTCGTTTGGGTATAATTCTTCAAGATGAAAAGGAAAACAATAATTCGACGTTTCCTTCATGTATAATTAAAATCTTAAGCTTAAATATATATCTTCTTAACTTTTTATCGGGCTTCAAACGTCAAGATTTGAAAATAATGTGCAGTATTAACACAGCCGCTATGAAATTGGAAGTTTCAACCTGTACGAGACCTGGTGCACGCATGGGCTAAACAGATAGCTAAGAGATTCCTAAGGTTCAGGTATAGCCGTCCCTAAGTTTAAAGTACTGACCAACGAAATTTCAGTCAGCAGCCCCCGCCTCTGCAAGCGCTTTGTCCAGCTTTGAACTAACTAACAGGATTGCCTGTCACTCTAATGCTGTATCCCCCGCTAAGAGTGCGAAGCGTGTTGAGTAGCATGAAGTCTCTAACCTCGGACCCCTCATTGCGCACTCTGGCACGCTAACCAATGTGCCCCACCAATCTTAGCCAGTTTTAGAAAATACCCTATGATGTCACTAGAGCTCTGAAATTTTCTATGATATTCCTAAAGAACTAACTATCGATGCTGTAAACAATAATATCGGCGTCTGTGATGGCTCTTATATATAGCATAATTTATACATTGCTCAGAGAATCTCCACCTATCACTGAGGTTTTTTTTAATAGTAGACCAGAACGACCAACCTACCAACCGCAACATCAAGACAAAATCACGCAATTAATCTCGTTTGAAACTGTAAAAAACTAACTATTATTGTTTCATTTTTCTTCTATTTTTTTGCAGTAATAATGTTTAAACTGTTTATATAGCTCTTTTAATGAATCAGATGGAAGGAAGTAGAAATATACTGTATATAAGTTTGTTATTAACACTTGCTTTTGATTGACACAAAACATTGAAACGTCATTTTACTATCAAATGTTTTATTTATTTGTTGTTAAACACAAAGTTGCACGATGTGCTGTCTGTGCTCTGCCCATTGCGGGTATCGAACTGAGAAAGCCACCTAGGGGTTTATTATCAATCACTCATATAAGGTGTTACAAATCTCTGTTTTCAAAATCAAAAGACGTGTTCTCTAAAAGCTTAGTTCGACTACTTTCAAAATCAAACTGAAAACGTCATTTCACAGTTGAGCTCAGTTATCTTTTTATTAAAGACAACCACAAAGATCAAAGTTTTATCTTACATTTTTGTTAACAAAACTTCGATATGATTTTTCCTACAGCTTGTTGATGCGTCTCATAATTGACTATTTATGCTATGAGATTAATACAATATCTCAGAAACAAGAAGTACATTTAATGCTTTAATAGTCAGACCAAAAAATCAGATAAAGCTTTATCATTTTCTCGAAGAATGAGAGGAGTAAACGATTTCGAATTTTATTTTTTATTATCAAGTCTTCTCAGGTTCTACATCTGCCCGTAAGGGGTGTGGCAGATAAAGGCCATCAACACGACGGGATATTTTACCTTCCAATAACAGTGGTTTGAAAAACATTCAAGAGTAGGGAAAATGAAAGGGATGGAGTGAGCTGAGGGGGAACGAATAAAAAATTAAAGGGAAAGTTGAGATTTAAGTATAGATATACCAGATTGTATCAGGATTTTGACTCTCGAACTTAAAAGCTATTAGATCCAATCGAAGAATATGAATACCATCGTGAGATTGGGTTAGATAAGCTTGGCGGATAATTTATGATGCTTGAATTTAACGCTGAAACCCAGGTTAAAACAATCAAGAGATGTGGATATTACATCCTATGGAAGATAAATAAGTTGACTTAGTTTTCTTAAGATTTATGCATAAAATGTTTGTACACGTTCATGTTTTACAAGTTTATGTTGAATACTGTGCACAGATTATAATCTCCAAATCAGATGCAATCAATCATGCATTTCGTGTAGTGGTGTAAATGGTTAAAGTTGCGTTTTTTTTGTCTCGTACCTGAAGACTAGGCATTTACAGAGTAGCATTAACCTACAACTTGAAACAAAAATGAATATTATCTGAGGTTAATAGTCTGCTCCAAGTCATAAAAGTTTCTTAGGTTACATGTTTTTTTTATTCTAAGTTTTAACTTTATACAAAGCTATTTTCACATGGCAAACACAACTAGGCTATTTCACTGTCCTTTCCAGTCCATCTAGGCGTGGTCTACTGATTAGCGTGCCCAACTATGAATCCTATGAGTCACGTTGCCACATAAATGCAATCCGCATCTTAGGCCGTGGGTGCGCTATAAAAGTGACTGTCAAATTCCATTATTGGTGGGTGCTGTTGACTACCTACCTTACCTTCAGTCTACCAATTCATTATTAGAGATGGTTGTAGGCAAATAGCCCTTAAATATATTTGTTTAAAACTTCTAAACAAACATCTTTCAAGTCACAATATTACGCTGCCAGTGGCTCAGCAGTAAGTTTGAAAACTAATAGCATAGTGGTGGACACAGATAGTGTAGCTTTGTGCTTAACAGCAAATAAACAAACACAATATTACGAATGATTTTCCTAAGAATCTTCGTATGAGTTCTGTATAAACGAATTTTTAACACACGATTTCCACCTAAATATATAAGTTTGTTTTATGTATTTCATCACTTTCAACTGTATTAAATATTTTTAATTGATTTATGTGAAAGCAAACCTTCTGACCTTTCATAGATTTATGTTACAAATGACTATTAAAGTAACGAATGTTATTTCTTTGTACAAACATAGTTTGATATATTCAATTTTTAAATAATTATGAAAAATTATTCATAATTATTAATCGGTTATGGTTGTTATGTTTGTATTGGTAATAGTGTGGCCCAGCATGAAAATACAAATTTAACAAAATTCAAAGTGTTACTTGGTCTTGTGTATTAATTGCAGGTGTTCGTAGTGCACACCCTGAAGAGTTCTGCTTCACCAAACGAATCACGAAATTTTAGCCTGAACGGTAAGAACTTATTAATCTAAAAAGACAAAACAAAAGTTCACAATTTTCACTGTCGTTTATTTAGTTTTTATGTGTGTGTTTGAAAATTCTTACAATGCAGGACCTCTGGAAAATTCACAAGGAACACTAATGACTGCATTCTCCGAAACCTTATTGTAATAACTGGAAAAATAAGAAACAAAAGTATTTCATTAATAAAAGGCAAGAAACCGAAGAATACTTAAATTAAAGGTTCGGTGCCTGGGGTGTAACCTGACACATGCAGTAGATATGAGTGTGTGTTTTATTTATCTATTCAGTGAAGCTTTTGAAGAGAATATACCTCTGTGTAACATATATATTTATATGGTCATATCTGTTACTTATAAGTTCCTTGATATGAAATTATACTTCTATTTATCTAAGCTATTTCATCTCATAAATAATATTCGGAGCTATAACACCAGACCACCAAGAAGTAAATGGCATTCATAATTGTCTCAGTCAGATGAATTAAAATAAAACAGTATTCATAAATGTCTAAATCAGATGAAGTAGAAGTAAACGGTATTCATAAATATCTAAATCAGATGAAGTAGAAGTAAACGGTATTCATAAATTACTCAATCAGATTAAGTAGAAGTAAATGATATTCATAAATTATTCAATCAGATGAAGTAGAAGTAAATGGTATTTATAAGTATCTAAATCAGATGAAGTAGAAGTAAACGGTATTCATAAATATCTAAATCAGATGAAGTAGAAGTAAACGGTATTCATAAATTACTCAATCAGATTAAGTAAAAGTAAACAGTATTCATAAATGTCTAAACCAGATGAAGTAGAAGTAAACGGTATTCATAAATCACTCAATCAGATGAAGTAGAAGTAAACGGTATTCATATATTACTCAATCAGGTGAAGTAGAAGTAAATGGTATTCATAAGTGACTCAATCAGGTGAAGTAGAAGTAAATGACATTTGCAATTTACACCGGATATCGATGAAAAGTATACTCGTATATAACACAATATGAACAATAAATAAATGGTAATCATAAATGCCCAACCAAGAAGTCTACCATTCGTCCCAGTCGAAGAAATATTTCATTTATATATCACTCTGGCTATCGGGTTTCTTATTATTCTGTTATTAGGACTTATCCAGTTTTGTAATTCCCAGATGTGAAATGAAATAAGAGTATAATATTAGGAATAGAAAGGCGCAGGAGCTTAAGCTTACAACAACCTTCATCCAAGACTACCATTCACTTTCTGTAGCTAGTCCTGGGAAAACGAGAGCTCAAATAAACTGCAGCATTCATCAGAAACACCTGAAATACCATTTGAAACACCTGAAATACCATCTGAAACACCTGAAATACCATCTACTCTCTTTAACCATTTCTTGGAAAATTAAAGTCAGATGTAGACGCTCAGTCTCACAACATCTTTGATCTGAAATCACTAATTAATGTATGTAGCCAGTTCTAGAAAGGCCATTGCTCTGAAATATAAAAGTGTTTAACATATTTTAAGGATAAGAAAGTTTTGTAAGGAACTAAATGTGAATTAATAATTGATTTTTATTTACCTCGGGAAGTCATATGAATCTGTTTATCCTCAAATCAATAAATGCATCAATGAAATTTTGAGCCAATGAATTTGATTTTGATGTTTCAGTTTGTCACATATTAACTAAACTCTCTCAAATAAATTGGTGGGTGTTCTGAAAGCTCAAGCTATTGATAAGATTACAACTGTATATAACTATTATTACATTTAAAACGAATTATTAAATTCTCAGCCATTTATGTATTTTTCCGAGAGAAATATTTAATTTACTTTAAAGTTGGAATATAATTACGTTCTCAGCGCTAAGCCAAAGCTAAAACATGTTTCATTTCTATACTAAAGCGTATAAATTATATTTAATGTGTTCATCGTTTCACTTACCATACTTATCTAACATTTCACTTTATGATTTAAATCGATAAGAAAACTTAGACTTTCACACATTTTTTTTTCTCTGAAGTTGACTTGTCTTTATGCCATTAAAATAATAACTAAACATTATTCAATCCTTTTGACTTCTTAGGTCTTCTTCCATCTTTCATGAAGTTGGGGTCTTCATGTAAGTCGTCATTTGTCTGTCTTCTGTTCATCCCAAACAGCTACTGCGACTGGAATTACGGATCTTGTAGGTGTCGTCCATATCATGTTCAGTACAATGACACAACGTGTATACCCCGTAAGTAAAGACAAAAAAAAAACGTGTATCCTATTATTGTTGTGCTCGACAACCTAACGTTTAAAAGTAAAAATTGGAAACAGTACACTTTTGTCGTTTTAGATAATGAATCTACTTGGATTTTGATTTAGCTCTGACTATCTTTACTAAGCAATGGATAAAAAAGCTGTCCAATGCTTTAAATAACAGTACTGGATAAGCTACAACTAGTACTTTAACTTAAAATAAGACCCAAAACTAGAGCGCTTTCGAATAGTTGACTATTCTTCTTCAACTATTCGAAAGCGCTCT